ATCTCGGCGTTCACGTCGTTGTTAGAATAACTGCAAGAACAATGGAAAGGAAAACTTGAAAACGCCAATCTTCAACAAATAAAACAAACATGCTGTTTTGTGAAAAGAGCTGAAAAATCTCTACGAGTTCTACTCACACGGGCATCGAACAAAGGAACACAGAAGGAAAAGCTTTGTCCCGCGCTAGTTTCGTCATGACCGGAGTAATGACAGACTCTTCGCTATCAGCTCGGAACACGATTAGAAGAGGCTTCTTGTGTGCTAAGTACATTGGAAGGTTAAAGGGTGTCAACTCGCCCTGGAGAGGTAACAAACAGTAAGAAGTGTCAATTGTTTGCACTGAATCAAAAGTTAGAACCACCTTCAACGATAAGTTTAACGGTAACACATGAAAGTACTTCATCCACAGAGTTAAAAGTTAGTTCTAACCACCTTGTACAGCACAACAAAGTGTACCACATGAAAGTACCACTCAATAGCTCTCATTTGAATGGTCACACACTAGGGTTTCATCCACAGACTTAAAATCTAGAACCACTTTGTAAAGCATAATAAACAGTACCACATGAAAGAACTGCTCAATAGTTTTCATTCTAATGGTCACACATCAGGGTTTCATCCACAGACTTGAAAGGTAGTATGTAGTAACCAGCACAAAAAATGAGAACACACTGTTCAGCCATTGTTTGCGAATCACTGTATTTTTGGTTCAGTATTGTTTCTAGTCTTTTGTTTCCATTATTTCTTGTCATCTTTGTTCGGTATACGAAGAAACCAGAACTTCAGGAAAAGAATGTTGCGTTAGACTTAAAATACTTACAAATGACGGCAGGTTTGATCGAAGAACAAAATCAACAACGGACTGGATGGTGAACTTGGCATCAAAGACGTTAATTGGCTGATAAGGATCATTTCGCTTGAACACCAAAAGCGAGGGAAGACTGAGGCCATATTCAGAAGATCTGTAAAACATGAAAACAACTTGGGGTCACTTTACCTTAATAACCTTTAACCGACATTGATCACACAACCAATCACTACAGAGATAATGAGTGTGTCTAACCAATTAGAAGACGGAATGTATGGGGCACAAGTTTTACTTTTATAAGGAAAGAAAATCAACTTACAGGGTTCTTGCTGTATCACCAGTTACAAAACCCAAGAGAAACCTGCTTTGTAAAGACTGCGCGGCGGATTCAAAGGCCTTGAATTCTGTAAAATAAGACAAGTGTTTATGTCACTTAGAAAAGCTGAAATATTAGAGCCATCTTAAACGAACCCATATTAAGGTTTAATTACGAAACTAAAGCTAAAGTCACTTTGTATCGCATGAAATAAAATATCTAGAATGCTCTCATCAACAGTTTTCACTTGAGTGGTAACATTTTGGGACATCTTTGGACTAAAGTCGATATATACCTGACATATACAACTGAAAAAAATAACTTGGGAAGATTTCACTTTTATCGNTCATGACCGGAGTAATGACAGACTCTTCGCTATCAGCTCGGAACACGATTAGAAGAGGCTTCTTGTGTGCTAAGTACATTGGAAGGTTAAAGGGTGTCAACTCGCCCTGGAGAGGTAACAGAAAGTAAGCAGTGTTAAATGGTTACACTGAGTCAAAAGTTAGCGCCACCTTGAACGATAAGCTTAACAGTATCACATGGAAGTACTGCTCAATGGCTTTCACTTGAATGGTCACACTTAATGGTTTTATCCACAGAATGAAAAGTTAGAACCACCTTGTACAGCATAATAAACAGTACCACATGAAAGTACTGCTCAGTAGCTTTCATTTGAATGGTCACACACCAGGGTTTCATCCACAGACTTCAAAGGTAGTGTTGAATAAACAGCACTCCATGAAAATGCTGCTCAATATATTAGTGTGAAGAACTTCGGCTCCTTTCGTTCTCGAGGTACCGGAGGCAAATGGGAAACTTTTAACCATTGTTTGCGAATCGCTGTATCTTTGGTTCAGTATTGTTTCCATTATTTTTCGTCATTTGTGTTCAGTACACGAAGAAGAAACCAGAAATTTAGGGAAAAGAATGTTGCGTTAGACTTAAAATACTTACAAATGACGGTAGGTTGGATCGAAGAACAAAATCAACAATGGACTGGATGGTGAACTTGGCATCAAAGACGTTAATTGGCTGATAAGGATCATTTCGCTTGAACACCAAAAGCGAGGGAAGAGTGAGGCCATACTCAGAAGATCTGTAAAATATCAAAACAACTTGGGGTCACTTTACCTTTAACCCACATTGATCACACAAACCAATCACTGCAGCCATAATGAGCGTGTCTAACCAATCAGAAGACGGAATATATGGAACACAAGTTTTACTTTTAAAAGGAAAGAAAATCAACTTACAGGGTTCTTGCTGTATCACCAGTTACAAAACCCAAGAGAAACCTGCTCTGTAAAGACTGCGCCGCGGATTCAAAGGCTTTGAATTCTGTAAAATAAGACAAGTGTTAATGTCACTTAGAAAAGCTGAAATATTAGAGCCATCTTAAGCGAACTCTTAAGGTTTAATTAAGAAAATAAAACTAAAGTCACTTTGTATCGCATGAAATAAAATATCTAGAATGCTCTCATCAACAGTTTTCACTTGAGTGGCAACATTTTGGGACATCTACGGACTAAAGTCGATATATACCTGACATATACATCTGAGAAAAAAAAAATACCTTGGGAAGATATCACTTTTATCTCATTCTCCATTTTCCAATTCCCCATAATTCACTCTGTTTACCCCCAAAAATTTTGCATTAACTATTGTTGTGAAAAGCTCTTGGGAGGTCTGCATATTCCCAAGAGCATTTCACAACTACAATAGTTTAAGCAAAATTTTGGGTGCAAACAGAGTGAATTATGGGCAACTGGAAAATAGAGAATGGCAGTGGAATGTTCTGAACAGTGTACGATAATCTTAAAGCTCTATCTTTGCCCTTAAACTCNGTCTCCTAACTGTCCTTTCACGAACACTTGTCAAAATTTAAACTTACGCGGTTTTGGACTATGATGGGATAAGGATTCAATTAAAGTGATGATTTTAATAGTTGACATTACTTTGTATGACTTGTTATAAAATCCATCAACACTTCATAGTCCAGTTTGCCAGTGAACTGAAGGAAATTGTCCCTGGACTTAGTTAAATGGAGATGAATGACTGGAAAAGTTTCCCCTTCCTGAAAAAAACAAAAACAAAAAACAAAACAAAACAAAAAAAATAATAAAAACTCTTTAAATGCATTCAGAAATGGACGTTTGGAGGAGGCATCGTGGCTGAATGTTTACGGCGCCTGACTTGAAATCCGGAGGTTGTGGGTTTAAGTCCTGCTCTGACCACTTAGCTAGAGTTGTTTCTCGGTAGACTCTAGTTCAACTCCTCGGTCATGCTTGTAAATAGCCAACTGGTCTGCCTCCCGCCAGTTGGGATTTTTAATCCTATTATGTTCAGTTGATATATTTGTTTCTTTCAGTTTAAGTGGCATACCTGTAAACTAACTAGGTGTAGCTAAGCAAATTAACCACTATAAACAACAACATTTGAACATTTTGATTCGGTGTTCTCGTCCAATCAATACGAGCATTTCTGTCGTTAGGTACAGCAATTGCTAGCAATGTCTTTTTTGCTGGACTAGAGCAAATCAAGTGATACGAAAACCCTAAGAAACAAAACCACATCATTCTTTACACTTCGATCAGTCTAGAATTAATATAACAATTATACAACAAAAGTGAAAGTCAATTCTTACAAANGAGCATGGGGAGAGGGTGGGTGGCAAGGATGTCACTAACAGATTAGCAATTGCATTTCTTCTTGCTTACAAATGTGGGGGTGGGGGGAGAGTGAGAATGTGGACCCCTCCCACGGGTTCGACACTGATCTGGGCATGTCCACTCTGCCTGAGAGAAGGGGAAGGGAGAAGGGATTTCAGAAGACAACATTTTCCAAAGAAAATATGAAGCATTGCTGGAAGTTCTATAGGGATGGGTGGGGGATGCAAAAAAAAAAAAACCCTTCTGTGGGTTTAGTATGCCTTGAGACTTTCTGGAACAAAGTTCAATAAGACTTTTTTTAAATTTTTAGTTAAATGCATTTAAGCACATAATATGTCTACTAAGTGCACAATATTAATAATAACTTTTAGTATCTGTTACCTTGCTGTCATTGTCAATCTTGGCTGGTACAAAAGCTGCAGTTGGGAAATTACCGTCCTCTGCCAAACCAAATGACGAAAGCATATGTTTGTGTTCATTCCTAGCAAGAAGGCATTAGATAATAATATTTCATTTCAAAGATTTGTCATGTTTATCACACTAATTACACACTAAACCTTAAAAGGAAAACATCCTAATCTTGTTTGCTTTGTTTTCAAGAGTGTTTGTTTTGTCCAAGGGCACTTTGCATCTTTTTAGTCTAGAGTTTGCACGTAACTGAGCAGTTTAGGGCTTTCTGAGGTGAGGAATTTGACCAGCACAAAATGAGACAAAAAACCACAACTTGAAAGACAATTCTTGGTGCATAAGGTAGCAGGAATGGGGAACTGACATAAGATTTCTTCCTTCTCTAAATATCAATAGAGCGGTTTTCAATTGTGACTGTCAAAAGTAATCAGGCAATCACTTTGGTTTCAGTTTTACTAGTTGGTTTGAGATTGGCTGAGTAGTCTAATTGGTACATAACTGGTGTGGTTTTAGTTCTACAACAATCAGTTGAAAACTGCTCTAAAAGGTATGATGCAATTAACATGCAGTAGATAAGAAGAAAGCAAGTTTTATTTCAAGGAGAAAACTTACACATCCACCAGGATGACTCCGATAGAACCTTGGAATTCCACAGCCATCTGTTCCAACTCCTCAGATTGAAGTTCAGAAATCTTATCACTGAACACAAACACTTTATCAACAGGGTATGTTAATGAATCATAAACTGTTCTTTTGTCGCTAGGGAGAATAACCTGCAAAGCACACAAAAAAATAATCATCATAAAATTAAATATATTGTAAATTCAATTATTTTAATATTTAAAAATCGAGTTTAGTGNTTGAACTGAGTCAAACGGCATTGACCTTTACTGTTTGTCTTTTCCTTGCAGTGGAAAAGAAAGAGTTCTGCATTGTGATCTGTAGAGAGACTGTAAAGAACAAAACGAATCAACAACTTGAAAAGGGTGATCCAGTAGAATGCACATGTTCTGTGTAAATAAAAGAATGTTTACTTATAAAGATGAAGATTGTTAGTATTTTTCCACAACCAGAACTTAAATATTTCAAGTTACAGTGGTCCCCATATTTAAGGTTTCCTTTTCCATCACTCTCTCTCTTGAGAATGAGTTGCTTGATGAAAATAAATAATTAATAAAAATGGACAGAACAAATATTGACAAATTAACAAAGAAAGAAAGAAAAGCTAAATGATTATATCTTCCCTATGGTTGCACCATTTTGCACAGCTGTTTTTCTCTCTAGCTGGAAGGTGTTCTAAGACATTGCTATCATGAAATGAGAGCTCAACTAGATGTTAGAGTCACTTGAAGATGAACACGAAGTGTATTACTGAGCAGGAATTGAATTCAAAATTGTACTTTAAAGATTTAAAAAAAATAGGCTGGCTGGGCAATTAGGTAAATGAAACATTTTATGGAGATGGCTTTATTACCCTGCAAAATCATCCTAAGCAACAACACTCAGTGGTATCCAAATCCTCACAACGCCCTGGGATACACCCTTCCCCCTCTCCGGCTCCGCCCCCAACCATGCGTGAGAGCAGATGGTCAGGGAAGTTGGCTCAGTATTCTCTGCCAGGCAAATTAATTCTTAGCTATGAGTTCCCTACAGTAACTGTACTTACCCATACTGCTTTGTGAATTCACTCTCTGTGGTCAATGCAAAAATTGCATCATGTTTAGAGTAATGTACCAACTCTAGAAAGTGGCGATGCTCTGAAAAGAGTGGAGAAAATACATCAATTGTTCCTACACTGTCATCGAGTCATGTACCTATATACATCTTGGTTACTGTAAAACCTCAATCCACCAGCCAATAATACTCTGCAGAACAGTTTCTCTCCATAAATATATAATTTATTTGACACTTAATTTTGAAATTAATAGCCTAATAAGTGATATATATCAAGTACGAAAAAAAAGCTCTTCTTTCAATGATAGAAGTTGGCTTTCAATGTAAAATAAATTATGACCAGTGTTTATTTTGTAAGGGTGTCCTGTGACAACCTTACCTGAAAAAGGTCTTTGCTGAACTCGAATAATTATTTAAAGGTTGTTATCTGGGTGAATTTGATTACATTTCTGATGGGCACATACAATTACATATACTGTATTTTAGGGTTCAGCTATATTTTTCTAACCTTTCATTCCAAGCCCTTTGACAAAACAGAGGACAACATCTTTTCTTCCCTGGCCTTCAGAAAGAAGTTCATCAAAGGACTCTTTGTCAGAAACGTAATTAAATTCTCCACTCAAAGCAGTTCTGGATTAGAGGAAATCAAAAATGATATTTGACATAGTTAATGAAAATAAATTAATTACTAAAAAGCAATAATGACATACATTAGGCTTGCTGGAGCCAATTATGATAAAAAAAAAGTCAGTAGGTGAAAAGAGTGCCGACTTTTCCAAGTTGCTGAGCCTACTTGNTTTCCTTTCAGTGATAGAAGTTGACTTTCAATGTAAAATAAATTATGACAAGTGTTTATTTTCTACGGGTGTCCCCTGACAACCTTAACTGAAAAAGGTCTCTGCTGATCTCGAATAATTATTTAAAGTTTGCTATCTGGGTGAATTTGATTACATTTCTGATGGGCACATACAAGTACATATACTGTATTTTGGGGTTCAATTATATTTTTCTAACCTTTCATTCCAAGCCCTTTGACAAAACAGAGGACAACATCTTTTCTTCCCTGGCCTTCAGAAAGAAGTTCATCAAAGGACTCTTTGTCAGAAACGTAATTAAAATCTCCACTCAAAGCAGTCCTGGATTAGAGGAAATCAGAAATGACATATTTTGACATAGTTAATGAAAATAAATTAATCACCAAAAAGCAATAATGACATACATTAGGCTTGCTGGAGCCAATTACGATAAAAAAAAGTCAGTAGGTGAAAAGAGTGCCGACTTTTTCAAGTTGCTGAGCCTACTTGACATTCTGCATACAAGGACGTAAGTCACATTGTGATGTTCCAGAAAATAACCATACCCCTCCCACAGCGCGGTTCTTTGGTATGAACTCCCCACCCTTCTGAATCCCACTGGAAATTCCAGTCTTGGAACAAACGTTGGTTAGTTTGGCTTTTGAGACTCCTCCTCTTGGGATTTCCAGTAACCCTCCTTGGGGTGGGTACAGATATCTTCTGGAACCAAGAATTTGAACCTAGTTATCATGAGCCTCCCGCAGTTTGAATTGTGGATCTGATTAAGATCTTTTAGATCTTCATACAATACAATCCTCAAAGATCTTGTAGGATATTGTAAAGTTAAATAATTTTCTTACCAAGTCCCCATAATATTCTCCATTGTTGCTATGTATGTCGTGGGGCATGGGCATGTGAACAACTAGACAGTATGACCCTGAGGTGGGCTACACATTTGAACACCAGTCTGGCCCCCAGGGTATGGGATTCTGATCAACCAAAAATTCAAAATGTCAAATGCCTTAGGGAGTAGGGGGAGGGTGGGTGGAATTTTGAATAAGCTGATACATAAATGAAAAAAATCAAATTCTTGAATTATTTTTTGTTCATATATTCAGAAAACCAAAATGTTTTTGCTCTCTACTTAATTAGCACACTATATTTAGCCTTAAATGTTAATATTTTTTCTGGCAAATTAATGATACAGTACAGTTCAAAAAAGTATGACTGGTATCAAAAAACCAAAATGTTTTTGCTCTCTGCTTAATTAGCACACTATATTTAGCCTTAAATGTTAATATTTTTTCTGGCAAAATAATGATACAGTACAGTTCAAAAAAGTATGACTGGTATCAAAAAACCAAAATGTTTTTGCTCTCTGCTTAATTAGCACACTATATTTAGCCTTAAATGTTAATATTTTTTCTGGCAAAATAATGATACAGTACAGTTCAAAAAAGTATGACTGGTATCAAAAAACCAAAATGTTTTTGCTCTCTGCTTAATTAGCACACTATATTTAGCCTTAAATGTTAATATTTTTTCTGGCAAAATAATGATACAGTACAGTTCAAAAAAGTATGACTGGTATCAAAAAACCAAAATGTTTTTGCTCTCTGCTTAATTAGCACACTATATTTAGCCTTAAATGTTAATATTTTTTCTGGCAAAATAATGATACAGTACAGTTCAAAAAAGTATGACTGGTATCAAAAAACCAAAATGTTTTTGCTCTCTGCTTAATTAGCACACTATATTTAGCCTTAAATGTTAATATTTTTTCTGGCAAAATAATGATACAGTACAGTTCAAAAAAGTATGACTGGTATCAAAAAACCAAAATGTTTTTGCTCTCTGCTTAATTAGCACACTATATTTAGCCTTAAATGTTAATATTTTTTCTGGCAAAATAATGATACAGTACAGTTCAAAAAAGTATGACTGGTATCAAAAAACCAAAATGTTTTTGCTCTCTGCTTAATTAGCACACTATATTTAGCCTTAAATGTTAATATTTTTTCTGGCAAAATAATGATACAGTACAGTTCAAAAAAGTATGACTGGTATCAAAAAACCAAAATGTTTTTGCTCTCTGCTTAATTAGCACACTATATTTAGCCTTAAATGTTAATATTTTTTCTGGCAAAATAATGATACAGTACAGTTCAAAAAAGTATGACTGGTATCAAAAAACCAAAATGTTTTTGCTCTCTGCTTAATTAGCACACTATATTTAGCCTTAAATGTTAATATTTTTTCTGGCAAAATAATGATACAGTACAGTTCAAAAAAGTATGACTGGTATCAAAAAACCAAAATGTTTTTGCTCTCTGCTTAATTAGCACACTATATTTAGCCTTAAATGTTAATATTTTTTCTGGCAAAATAATGATACAGTACAGTTCAAAAAAGTATGACTGGTATCAAAAAACCAAAATGTTTTTGCTCTCTGCTTAATTAGCACACTATATTTAGCCTTAAATGTTAATATTTTTTCTGGCAAAATAATGATACAGTACAGTTCAAAAAAGTATGACTGGTATCAAAAAACCAAAATGTTTTTGCTCTCTGCTTAATTAGCACACTATATTTAGCCTTAAATGTTAATATTTTTTCTGGCAAAATAATGATACAGTACAGTTCAAAAAAGTATGACTGGTATCAAAAAACCAAAATGTTTTTGCTCTCTGCTTAATTAGCACACTATATTTAGCCTTAAATGTTAATATTTTTTCTGGCAAAATAATGATACAGTACAGTTCAAAAAAGTATGACTGGTATCAAAAAACCAAAATGTTTTTGCTCTCTGCTTAATTAGCACACTATATTTAGCCTTAAATGTTAATATTTTTTCTGGCAAAATAATGATACAGTACAGTTCAAAAAAGTATGACTGGTATCAAAAAACCAAAATGTTTTTGCTCTCTGCTTAATTAGCACACTATATTTAGCCTTAAATGTTAATATTTTTTCTGGCAAAATAATGATACAGTACAGTTCAAAAAAGTATGACTGGTATCAAAAAACCAAAATGTTTTTGCTCTCTGCTTAATTAGCACACTATATTTAGCCTTAAATGTTAATATTTTTTCTGGCAAAATAATGATACAGTACAGTTCAAAAAAGTATGACTGGTATCAAAAAACCAAAATGTTTTTGCTCTCTGCTTAATTAGCACACTATATTTAGCCTTAAATGTTAATATTTTTTCTGGCAAAATAATGATACAGTACAGTTCAAAAAAGTATGACTGGTATCAAAAAACCAAAATGTTTTTGCTCTCTGCTTAATTAGCACACTATATTTAGCCTTAAATGTTAATATTTTTTCTGGCAAAATAATGATACAGTACAGTTCAAAAAAGTATGACTGGTATCAAAAAACCAAAATGTTTTTGCTCTCTGCTTAATTAGCACACTATATTTAGCCTTAAATGTTAATATTTTTTCTGGCAAAATAATGATACAGTACAGTTCAAAAAAGTATGACTGGTATCAAAAAACCAAAATGTTTTTGCTCTCTGCTTAATTAGCACACTATATTTAGCCTTAAATGTTAATATTTTTTCTGGCAAAATAATGATACAGTACAGTTCAAAAAAGTATGACTGGTATCAAAAAACCAAAATGTTTTTGCTCTCTGCTTAATTAGCACACTATATTTAGCCTTAAATGTTAATATTTTTTCTGGCAAAATAATGATACAGTACAGTTCAAAAAAGTATGACTGGTATCAAAAAACCAAAATGTTTTTGCTCTCTGCTTAATTAGCACACTATATTTAGCCTTAAATGTTAATATTTTTTCTGGCAAAATAATGATACAGTACAGTTCAAAAAAGTATGACTGGTATCAAAAAACCAAAATGTTTTTGCTCTCTGCTTAATTAGCACACTATATTTAGCCTTAAATGTTAATATTTTTTCTGGCAAAATAATGATACAGTACAGTTCAAAAAAGTATGACTGGTATCAAAAAACCAAAATGTTTTTGCTCTCTGCTTAATTAGCACACTATATTTAGCCTTAAATGTTAATATTTTTTCTGGCAAAATAATGATACAGTACAGTTCAAAAAAGTATGACTGGTATCAAAAAACCAAAATGTTTTTGCTCTCTGCTTAATTAGCACACTATATTTAGCCTTAAATGTTAATATTTTTTCTGGCAAAATAATGATACAGTACAGTTCAAAAAAGTATGACTGGTATCAAAAAACCAAAATGTTTTTGCTCTCTGCTTAATTAGCACACTATATTTAGCCTTAAATGTTAATATTTTTTCTGGCAAAATAATGATACAGTACAGTTCAAAAAAGTATGACTGGTATCAAAAAACCAAAATGTTTTTGCTCTCTGCTTAATTAGCACACTATATTTAGCCTTAAATGTTAATATTTTTTCTGGCAAAATAATGATACAGTACAGTTCAAAAAAGTATGACTGGTATCAAAAAACCAAAATGTTTTTGCTCTCTGCTTAATTAGCACACTATATTTAGCCTTAAATGTTAATATTTTTTCTGGCAAAATAATGATACAGTACAGTTCAAAAAAGTATGACTGGTATCAAAAAACCAAAATGTTTTTGCTCTCTGCTTAATTAGCACACTATATTTAGCCTTAAATGTTAATATTTTTTCTGGCAAAATAATGATACAGTACAGTTCAAAAAAGTATGACTGGTATCAAAAAACCAAAATGTTTTTGCTCTCTGCTTAATTAGCACACTATATTTAGCCTTAAATGTTAATATTTTTTCTGGCAAAATAATGATACAGTACAGTTCAAAAAAGTATGACTGGTATCAAAAAACCAAAATGTTTTTGCTCTCTGCTTAATTAGCACACTATATTTAGCCTTAAATGTTAATATTTTTTCTGGCAAAATAATGATACAGTACAGTTCAAAAAAGTATGACTGGTATCAAAAAACCAAAATGTTTTTGCTCTCTGCTTAATTAGCACACTATATTTAGCCTTAAATGTTAATATTTTTTCTGGCAAAATAATGATACAGTACAGTTCAAAAAAGTATGACTGGTATCAAAAAACCAAAATGTTTTTGCTCTCTGCTTAATTAGCACACTATATTTAGCCTTAAATGTTAATATTTTTTCTGGCAAAATAATGATACAGTACAGTTCAAAAAAGTATGACTGGTATCAAAAAACCAAAATGTTTTTGCTCTCTGCTTAATTAGCACACTATATTTAGCCTTAAATGTTAATATTTTTTCTGGCAAAATAATGATACAGTACAGTTCAAAAAAGTATGACTGGTATCAAAAAACCAAAATGTTTTTGCTCTCTGCTTAATTAGCACACTATATTTAGCCTTAAATGTTAATATTTTTTCTGGCAAAATAATGATACAGTACAGTTCAAAAAAGTATGACTGGTATCAAAAAACCAAAATGTTTTTGCTCTCTGCTTAATTAGCACACTATATTTAGCCTTAAATGTTAATATTTTTTCTGGCAAAATAATGATACAGTACAGTTCAAAAAAGTATGACTGGTATCAAAAAACCAAAATGTTTTTGCTCTCTGCTTAATTAGCACACTATATTTAGCCTTAAATGTTAATATTTTTTCTGGCAAAATAATGATACAGTACAGTTCAAAAAAGTATGACTGGTATCAAAAAACCAAAATGTTTTTGCTCTCTGCTTAATTAGCACACTATATTTAGCCTTAAATGTTAATATTTTTTCTGGCAAAATAATGATACAGTACAGTTCAAAAAAGTATGACTGGTATCAAAAAACCAAAATGTTTTTGCTCTCTGCTTAATTAGCACACTATATTTAGCCTTAAATGTTAATATTTTTTCTGGCAAAATAATGATACAGTACAGTTCAAAAAAGTATGACTGGTATCAAAAAACCAAAATGTTTTTGCTCTCTGCTTAATTAGCACACTATATTTAGCCTTAAATGTTAATATTTTTTCTGGCAAAATAATGATACAGTACAGTTCAAAAAAGTATGACTGGTATCAAAAAACCAAAATGTTTTTGCTCTCTGCTTAATTAGCACACTATATTTAGCCTTAAATGTTAATATTTTTTCTGGCAAAATAATGATACAGTACAGTTCAAAAAAGTATGACTGGTATCAAAAAACCAAAATGTTTTTGCTCTCTGCTTAATTAGCACACTATATTTAGCCTTAAATGTTAATATTTTTTCTGGCAAAATAATGATACAGTACAGTTCAAAAAAGTATGACTGGTATCAAAAAACCAAAATGTTTTTGCTCTCTGCTTAATTAGCACACTATATTTAGCCTTAAATGTTAATATTTTTTCTGGCAAAATAATGATACAGTACAGTTCAAAAAAGTATGACTGGTATCAAAAAACCAAAATGTTTTTGCTCTCTGCTTAATTAGCACACTATATTTAGCCTTAAATGTTAATATTTTTTCTGGCAAAATAATGATACAGTACAGTTCAAAAAAGTATGACTGGTATCAAAAAACCAAAATGTTTTTGCTCTCTGCTTAATTAGCACACTATATTTAGCCTTAAATGTTAATATTTTTTCTGGCAAAATAATGATACAGTACAGTTCAAAAAAGTATGACTGGTATCAAAAAACCAAAATGTTTTTGCTCTCTGCTTAATTAGCACACTATATTTAGCCTTAAATGTTAATATTTTTTCTGGCAAAATAATGATACAGTACAGTTCAAAAAAGTATGACTGGTATCAAAAAACCAAAATGTTTTTGCTCTCTGCTTAATTAGCACACTATATTTAGCCTTAAATGTTAATATTTTTTCTGGCAAAATAATGATACAGTACAGTTCAAAAAAGTATGACTGGTATCAAAAAACCAAAATGTTTTTGCTCTCTGCTTAATTAGCACACTATATTTAGCCTTAAATGTTAATATTTTTTCTGGCAAAATAATGATACAGTACAGTTCAAAAAAGTATGACTGGTATCAAAAAACCAAAATGTTTTTGCTCTCTGCTTAATTAGCACACTATATTTAGCCTTAAATGTTAATATTTTTTCTGGCAAAATAATGATACAGTACAGTTCAAAAAAGTATGACTGGTATCAAAAAACCAAAATGTTTTTGCTCTCTGCTTAATTAGCACACTATATTTAGCCTTAAATGTTAATATTTTTTCTGGCAAAATAATGATACAGTACAGTTCAAAAAAGTATGACTGGTATCAAAAAACCAAAATGTTTTTGCTCTCTGCTTAATTAGCACACTATATTTAGCCTTAAATGTTAATATTTTTTCTGGCAAAATAATGATACAGTACAGTTCAAAAAAGTATGACTGGTATCAAAAAACCAAAATGTTTTTGCTCTCTGCTTAATTAGCACACTATATTTAGCCTTAAATGTTAATATTTTTTCTGGCAAAATAATGATACAGTACAGTTCAAAAAAGTATGACTGGTATCAAAAAACCAAAATGTTTTTGCTCTCTGCTTAATTAGCACACTATATTTAGCCTTAAATGTTAATATTTTTTCTGGCAAAATAATGATACAGTACAGTTCAAAAAAGTATGACTGGTATCAAAAAACCAAAATGTTTTTGCTCTCTGCTTAATTAGCACACTATATTTAGCCTTAAATGTTAATATTTTTTCTGGCAAAATAATGATACAGTACAGTTCAAAAAAGTATGACTGGTATCAAAAAACCAAAATGTTTTTGCTCTCTGCTTAATTAGCACACTATATTTAGCCTTAAATGTTAATATTTTTTCTGGCAAAATAATGATACAGTACAGTTCAAAAAAGTATGACTGGTATCAAAAAACCAAAATGTTTTTGCTCTCTGCTTAATTAGCACACTATATTTAGCCTTAAATGTTAATATTTTTTCTGGCAAAATAATGATACAGTACAGTTCAAAAAAGTATGANAAATATCGTTTACAAATGAACTTACTGAAGAAGATTTGCCACGATTGAATCTTCGTTGAACATGTAGCTTAGATCAAGTTCTTCTAACACGTCTGGATCTCCTCTCCTAGCAAATTAAAAAATAAAATAAATTTCACTTTGAGTCAAAGGGATTTTTAATGGCTTCACTGATTCGTAAAATTTGCCTACCTGTAAACAAATATTTTTTGATCTTTTGAGGAACAGTGGTTAACCGGCTGTTCGGAGCAATCCACCTGCGAAAAATGTTTAAAAACGTTTTGTAACAATATCGTAAAACATGAATGGATAACTAAGCAGATTTAAAGAGCCGCTTTAACTGTATTACTTGAATAATTAAACAGTAATAAAAAAATTTAGATAACGCGCAAAAAGTTGTAAAATAGCAATTTTCCGATTACCAACCTGGGCTAATTCGATTCCAAATGGCTCCAAAACGTCAGACGATTTAACAAATTCCCTTGAAAACTGCGGATAAGACTTTCTAACTTCTAAAATATACAGATATAAAGTAAGCTTATTAAAATAAACAAAGAATAACTAAGTACACGACTTCTCTTGAATTTTTAACACAAATAATGATCCCCAGAGAACATTTCAAATTGCACACACCAATAATATTAGCTTCAACTCACCGGGTTTATCAAAAAACACAGCAATAAAATTGTTCTGCGTGGATTGTCCTATATTTCTCAAGTCATCTGAGGTTAGTTTCCTAACGTGGCTACCAAACGTAAGAATGTAAAGTGTACAAATAAGCAGAACTTGATAAGTCAAAACCGCACTTTCGGTCGCCATCTTCCTTTGAGCTATTTTCACTTCCTTGAGCACTAACGACTTTCAAATCTCTTTTCTTTAACACTTGCCTCGGGAGACTTCCCGTATTAACAGACAAATTCACGTTTTCGTCTCACTAAATACTAAAATGCCGTTTATATTTTCGACCAATAACAAAGGGACTCGTCTTCGTGAAAACGAACACCGCAGTGTCAGCTGAACTTCTCGGACCTTTGAGTGGCACTGAAACAGCGAAGATATTCCGTGCTATTTCTGCGGTGTCGATGTTGTATCTGAACTACTGAGGGCAGGTGATATTTTAAAAAGTGCAGATCTGTCCAACAATACGATGCCGCAACAAATGAGGCCAAAATTTGCATTTTACAATACTGAAGAAGATGTCCAAAACGACGTGTCGCCAGATGTCCACAATGTCACGCAACGACACGAGTTTTATCTCTTCCGCTGTAGACCTTCTTCCTTGTTAATCGAGAAGGAAAACAAAGAAACTTCTAAGTCCAAATGCAAAGACCGTGGCTAACCTGGCTAAAGTCTGAGACGGGGAAGTCGGCGCTGAAAGAGAACTGGGACAAAATGTTCGTTCCCAGAGCCTCCACGCACGCGGGGTCTTTTATACAAACCCACCTCCCTTTAAAATTATTCACTTATTTATTTTGAGGTGAAAAAGCGTTTGTACTCAGCCAAAAAAAAATGAAGCACCTAAAAGTGAGCGTCCTTACCGAAAACCTCGAAAACAATGCCATGGAGGAAACAAACAAAGCTGGGAAATAGTGTGACTGCACATCGATTGTCGCGGTGTTCGATAGCAGAGAATCGAACCCGGCACGTGCATCCACTTTGTTCACAAAATTATTTTACCATTCGTTGGAAAAAAGCTTTGAAAAGCTCATTCCTAGATAAGTAAAATCCTTGTTTTAGTTTCTATATTTAAATCTGTAAAATTTAGAAACAAAATATGTAAGAAGAACAAAAATGGCTGACAAAAGTTTCAAAGCGGAAATCTTCGCACATCTCACCACATGCACCAGGGATGATCCGGCTTTCTCGATTTTTGAGAGTATTGTTTTCGAGTTTTTAACACTTTGCTTTCGAGTTTTCAGCACTTTGTTTTCGAGTGTTCAACACTTTGTTTTCGAGTTTTGGGTGTTTCGCTTTCGTGTTTCGTTGTTCTGTTTTCGAGTTTTAGGCGTTTTGTTTTCGAGTTCATTCAGTTCAGATCAGTGCGAATGGTCTCGCATTCTTCATTTAGATAGATAGATAGATAGATAACCCTTAGATAACCTTTCAGAGGTTTGGATGTTTCATTTTCGAGTTTTGAGTGTTTCGCTTTCGATTTGTTTTCTATATTCTCAGATTAATTCAAACCTATTATTTTACTCCAATTTTAAGTTCAATAAGTTGTTGTTTTCGTAACCAAAGTTCAACAATGTTATGTCATGCGCTATTACAGTAAATTGATGCTTTAAATTGTCTAGTTAGTCTTGAAAACCTGTACATGTAGCGCCGGCGAAACCGGTGTTCCGAGGAAGCTGACTCAACAATAGATATAACTACAATTGTTTTGTTTTCTTTTTCCCACAATTTCAGGCTCATTAAATTGTTGGCGTAGTGACCAAAGTTCACCTGTTCTATGTCACACCTAGAAGTCATGTCCAGCTCGTGTAAAACACGTAAACTGATACGTTTAAAATTAACTATTGTCTTTTATGTTAGGGCCACTTGCCGACGTCTCGTGCAGGGTGATTTAGCATACGGTAAATGTAACAATTGTTTCGTTTGCTTTTAATGGCCAATTCTAAAGCTCCCGTAAGGAAGTTCTCATCGGAGAAAGGCAAAGGTTATTACAAACTTAACGATGAAGAACCCACATTTACAGCGCGCTATCTGGGAATGAGCAAAGTGGAGGCCATGTTTCCACCAGAGCAAGGCCAAACTGTCAGCGCCAGATGTATTGACAAGCTGCACTGTGCCATGCAAAGCAAAGGTAAACGGCGCAAAGTTTCGCTTCTAATTTCGTCGAACATCTCCCGAGGACTGACTGTTAAGGAGAAAGGGAGTAAAGGAGAGCTTTGTTACAAGCTGTTCGATATTGCTTATTGTTCGACCGACGTACGGAACAAGTTGATATTTTCCTTCATCGCCGAATGCGAAGGTGAACTGCAGTGCCACGCTTTTGTGTTCAAGACCGAGGAGAGAGCTAACGCCGTGTGCTTGACGCTTTCCGAAGCATTCAACACGGCTCACGGCGAGTGGCTGCGGAAACAGAAACGTGAACAGAGTAGGAAAGAAAGAGAGGAAATTAAAGCCGGCACGTGAGGGATTTGCTTTAACTAATTCACTCGACAACTGAGAAAACGCAGCATTGAAAATTAAACTGGATTCAGAAATGTAACGCCCTCAACAATAACGGACTTCCAAGACACAAAACATCAAAAACGAAACTGGACGATGTTGTTGCCAGAGTGACAGGAGGGCAGGGTGGGGCACTCTGCTATGCAATGGAAGAAATCGTCCTTATCGTCGTAAAAAATTCAGCCTATAATGATTACATGCTTTAGAATTTAGTACCTCTCAGACCTGGCATGATAATTCACTGACTCTAACCACATTACAAAACGCGATTCTGGTTCCCTTTAGGTGTTCACCCCTTCTCTTGTATATGGACCCCCCCCCCCCCCCCTCACCGACTTGGTCACCGTCCGCGGTGCGCCAGTAGATCGGCGGCAAAGAGTATTTTTTAGGGCTAGTTTAATTTTAAGATCTTACAATTTTCAATGTAAGCGTAGGAAAATATTGTTCAATTTATAACACTTCGTTTCCGCATACGTTCACGAGACTACCGTTCTCTCTAAAGGAATTCGCTAAGGAAGTTTGCCAAGTAGGGAAGTCGCAACAATACAAATGAATTTCTTGATTGAATTACCCGGTTAAAGTTCACGACATCGGTCGTCTCGACTCACAAGACTTCATGTACTCTAGTGAACACTGAAAATTTAAATGCTGTTTTCCATATGACCGCTACGATTGCTGCAAAAAACGTTCAGGGCCAAACCGAGCGCGAAGCGCGAGTCGCGCGCGAGGGGAAGAGCGCATGCAAAAAATTACGCCTGTTCTGCAGGCTACAACGATCGTTGAGATCTGAGCCACGTCAATCCGTGTTAATCTTCTCCATACTTAACCACCCTTGTTCCTTTATGGCTTATTATTATCTCTTTGATGTTTTTCTATCTCAGTGCATCTGGGATGCACGCATAGTCTCTAATACAGTTCTACCTCTCATTTAAAAGTCAGAATAGAACCTGGAGCATTTAATTCTGGAGAATTAACGGATAAACCGACGGCGAGAGAAGTGATAGCCCAAGATAGCGTGATAAAGCTCGAAGATTTTATATTTACGTTGTTTGACCTTTTGTTTTGAAAAGGAAAATGTCAAGAACAAAGGTTCATGAAAAAATAAAATATTTTGAAAGTCTGATCTTGACCCATTCCTTTTCTGTTGAAAAGTTTTCTTTCTCTTATTGTCTCTAAAAACAATACGATATCTTCACTCATTAAATGCGCTGGCCAGACGAGGTTGCTGAAATCTCAAACGTTACCACCCTCTCTTTGGTTTCCGACTTCAAGCACGTTTCACGCCTTGCAACGAAAACTGTTCTTCGAAGTTGCCGTTCAGTTCAATCTGTGGTTCACATCAAATAATTTATGGCACTCGCTATCTCAACCTCTCGGGCGTCATGTGAAATCCTTTTTTTTTTTTTGTTTTTGTTGGATCGAACAACAAACGAGTTTTGATCAGGATGGTGGACACAGGGGATTTCACTTGAAAAATGTCATTTTGATGACTAAGGTTTACAGTTTTGTACAGAAATTCTGATTGGTTATTCCTCCACGGCGATTTTTAGCGCGCTTCTAACGACCAATCAGAATCTTCGGATCTCATTTATCCCCAAGCCACTGGAATGCAATGTCCGACGACAAAACTGGGCACAAGTTTTTCATGCTACATCGAGAATATGAGGAGAAAGAGACTGTGTTCCAGTATATTGTAAAACTGGCAACTGATTAACTGTAAAGTCAAGATTTTTAACACTCACAAAAAGAGCAGGTGGTCATAAATAAAATATCTTGTTTTAATATCCTTGAATACTCTCAGACTTGTGCAAAAGCGACTCAGGAGCTTTCGAAGTTTAAAAGAAAGATAGAGAGAAAGTTAAAAACCTGGCAAATCAGAGGTCCTAAAAAATTTCCCCCAAATTGAATAATAAAAAGCAATGCTTAACGAGGCTGTACAAATATCAGCCTTAGCCCCCCGCACTCCTCACCCACCACGGGAAGAGAGCGCGGGATCAAGCCATAAGCCCTGTTTCGAACAACTACCTATGTTGCTTTCCTGTGGAAAATTTTACTTAATTCTTTGTTGAAAAGCTCTTCTGGACGGTTACCGTAATAGTGAAAAACTGTATTCCTCGGACTTGGAGATATTTCCAGAAATACAGTAAAATTCCGCGTATAAGAACCTAAAAATTTAAAGGAGCTCAGTCACGGTATTTCGAGTTATTTTGGCCACGAACAAAATTACCTTTAAATTGAAGGAAACCTGAAAATAGTAGTTTACCAAGTTAGAAAAATACCTAAGAAAAAATACATAACCATAAAGGTACAAGGATGGTTAAGGATGGAGAAGATTGGCACGGATTACAAACGAGAAACTTGAGAGATTTAGGCCAAACTTTTCAAGATGCGCAATCCGTGAAGTAGCTTCTTTAAGAACCTGTTAGGTTAAAATTTCCTAGTTAGGCACACTTCACATAAGAATCATTCTAGGCTAAAATCTCAATAGAGCTTGTTATTTTCAAAATATAGAGGGTTGTTTTTCAAATGTAATAGAGTACGTCACAAGCGATACAAAGAAAGGTAACAAAAACTAGCCAGAACACTGGCAGTGTTGGAAGATCTCAATGCTGTCCTGTGAATGATTCAATCTAAAGGCCATATCCATGAGTACAAGTTTTTGTTCTTTTAACAAATTAAGAACCTGATTAAGAACCTAGGCAGCCTCATTCACGCAGTAAACGCCATTTATATAAGAACCTATGCTGGCTAACTTGACAAAACCTAGGTTCTTATTCGCGGTATTTTACTGTACTGGCAGTCGTAACAAAATATAAATAAACTACAATAAAAAGCTTGGAGACACAAACACAAATCAAATCTATGCCGGTAAGTCGAAGAAGAGAGGCCCCTCAAATCTAACTGACAAAAGTATTAAGAATTTGACAATATATGTAAAAACATTAAACGAGGATAAGTCCCATAAAATACAACGAAAGAGAACAAAATTACAGCGTTGAGCACAAACAAAATTTATAGAAGTACATTTCGGGACACAAGGAAAACTGAATTGGGGAATGAGCGATATAAAATAACTACGT